TCCACATTCAGTCAGTCTACTGTTAGTATAACCAAACGCTTTGTCAAATGTGGAAAAATCGCATCAGTCACACTTAGCAAAGCGTTCCAGATGGGACCCTGTGGAGGGCTGGTTCTGGCTCACTGACCTCATGTTTGACACCTCTGATGCAGAAATTAGAGTATAAATCGCTAAACTCAAATTGGTTTAGACACCTTTAAAGTGGACGGGAAATGCAGGGAGAGAAATAGTTGGAATGACAAGTTCCAGCTGATTGAGAGTTAAATCAAAGAAAGTGTGGCTGCGTGGTGTTAACTGTAGGTTACAGAGAGAACACATAATGTATTTTTTAATAAATTCACAGGGAACAAAATGATGCTGCCACATCCCATTCTGAGTTAAAGCAACGGCTCAGACACCATTTAGTGGGAACAGCACCATTTTGAAGCTGGTGGTGTTGAGCTGTGTGTTCCCCAGCAGGTGGCAGTAATGCTGCTTAGAAATCACTCTGGCATTGTTGTAGTTAAGGCTCACTCCATCCTACACATCTGTTAACATATTAATGGCTGTAATGTCAAACCATGAAAACTGAGAGCTGTAATTTATCTTGGCTCTTGATACATCAGTGCCTCATATGTGCGCAATGTGTGAGTGTACATACGGGTGAACACGAGTCCATGTATGAGAACACATGTCCCTGCATGCTGGAAGCTATTATATGTGAGTGACTGACCGCTAAGATCTTGTCTCCAATCTGCAGACGCCCATCTTTATGAGCTGCTCCGCCTTCAATGATCTTAGTGACATAGATGCTGTTATCTCCTGGTATGTGCTGGTTCCCCACCCCTCCAGCAATGCTGAAACCTAATCCTGAGAAAAGGGGGAGCAGAGCGTGAGCAAAGGAGGTGCAGGTTAACACAGAGTAGATTTGCTAAATCCAGAGGGCACAGCTTAGCATCCGTAAGCCCACGCAAAAGCCTTGATGCTTTGCACCAGTCCTCGCTTGCACATACCTTTAGGCCCTTTGATGAGCTTGATTTCAGTGACTTTTTCCGCTGCTGGTTTTCTGCGGAGAACGTAGAGGCGGACGATAGCACCTGCCTCCTTAAGAGCCTCCACAGCTTGGCTATGTGTCACCTCCCTCACGTCCACATCATTCACAAATAGGATGCAGTCGTTCACACTAAGAAATGGAGAGAGACAGAGAGAGACTGTGGGCGCGAGGGGAAAAAATACCGCATGAGTTTTTGTTTTGGTGAAGAAGTTTGGGTGTAATCCTCCACCAGACGAGGTCAGGAACAGTCAATCTCCAGCTACAGCCGCGCTGGGGATCCAGTTTCACTGCAGACTTTTTTTTCTCCACTTCTCAGTGACTAAGATTAAAGAGGGTATAATCTCTTGCTCTATTGATTTAGCACCGGGGGAAAGCTGCAGTATAGCTTCTTTGTGTTAACCGCTCATAAAAAATGATGACGACTTGATAGGTAAAGCGAAAGTGACAGCCTGTGTGTATAGGAGAAGCTGATCTTCAGCGATGAAATTGCTATTTTCAGACACACACATTTTTTTCCCCCTCCAGGGCCGTGTTTTCGTGATTCCATTCATGTATTCAAAATGTATTTTATGGCCATGAAAATGATGATGCGTAAATAGGACTGAAATATATTTTTGCAGGCTGCCGGAGCTTTAACCACTGAAATACATCGCTATAGTCAAATCCAAAGGGACCCAATCACAGCTGACATCTTCATGCAAATGATGTTACATCATCCGAGCTGCATATTATCTGCAAGGCTGCATGTAGGAAAGATTTAAAACATTTTTATCATGCAATGTTTTTTTCAGCCTCCACAGAGCATCTGTATATATTTATTGATGCACTGTGTTGATTTGAGCACAACCCTTATTAAACATGTGTATGTGTAGGGGATTAAATATTCCAAATAACCGTCATTTAACTGCAAAAAATAAATAAATCAGTTACTTTGATGGAAGAACCTTTTAACAACCACGTTAAAATAAGCAGATAGTAGCTTAATCAAAGACCAAGGACAAAAAAAAAAAACTTGCATTCAAGCAAATATGAGCATTTTCATTAGGTCTTCTTCAAACTCATCATTCCAGATGGAGGTTTATAGGTCAAGTGTAAAGAAGACGATGCGTCTGTGTTAAAGCACAGTCACAGAAATGGATCCAAAGTGTTGTTTTTTTCCCACAGAAAGGCAAACTCTGTACTACATCCTCTTATGAAAGTGGCAAACATGCATATTATTACATATTCTTGCAACAAGCATGATTAGGATTCCATCTTTTTTCATTTAAATTTAAGCGCGAACAGTTCTTTTCTTCCAAAAATATGTTGCAGCTTGCCGCTACATGTTTTGTCCATTAAGTGAGAGTGTGGAGATTTATGGCACTAACCTTGACACACAAACCACATTTTAAACTTGCTTTTCCATATTGTGAGTTTAAAGTGCGACCTAATTTGTCATATACAACATATTTAAGCCTTACTTTACTTCTTTTAAACATGGCATCAAAATGCAAAAAGACCTTTAAACATGTCGGGGAAGAAAATACAAACTCTTAGCTAGGCTAAGGCATGCCTTTCTTGAGTTAAACAGACAGATGCTCTTACATGTAGCTCTGAAGCTGAGCAGACTGAACGAGCAACGAGTTATGTACAGTACTGTGTTACATTACTTTGCACTTAAAAAAGAAGACGGGAGGCTTTGCTTAAGCATCCACTTCTCTTGTCTTGGGTTTTGGAATGTATGTGCGTACAGACTGGATTTGTGTTTATTGTAGCTCGCTGTGTGCGCTTTTACCTCAGCCGTCCATCCTGAGCAGCAGCTCCTCCAGGTATGATTTTGGTGATGAAGATGCTGGGGTCATCGCCCACGTGAGGGTTGTCTGTTCCCCCTGCAATGCTAAAGCCCAGGCCTGAGTTACCCTGCAATTCAATGCAAACAAAACACACAGTTATTCATGTGCAAGAGAAAGTTTTCCTGTGACTGCATGCAGTCCTGTGAAAAAACAAAAAACACAGCTCTATTGAGCTCTTGCAACAGCATTTTAATAAGGCTGATGTCTGTACTTTGACTGGGACATTAAAATACCCTCTTTTTCTCTCTTCAAGCCATTCTGTTGTAGATTTGCTGCTGTGCTTGGGGTCCTGTTCTGTTTCCTGATCCGTTTGGGCTTTAGCTCACGTTTGACTCTAGATTACTTTAGTAAACAGTGGAGTTTATGTTTGACTCAATGCCATTAAGGTGCCTGGGTCTCATGGCTTGAAAACAAGCCAGTGCTTGACAGTTGGCATGAGGTGTTGGGCGCTGATATGCTGTGTTTGGTTTGGGCCAAAACTTTCCACTTTGGTTTGTTTACATAAAACTTTGCAAACCTTTACAAAGCTGTGTTGCCATGTTCTTTTTACAGAGAAGAGGATTTCTCCTGGCAACTTTTCCAAATATGCCATACTTGTTAAGTCTTTTTATAACTGTACCGTCATCAACCTAACATTTAACTCTTGGATTTTTGGGAATTTCTCTGAGCCTTGCACAGTCGGACTTTGGGAAAATTACTGCACTCTGTTATCAACAGACCAGCAAACTGCCAAAACCTGTGCTTTTACTTGTTGAAAATCACTTAATCACGTGCATTTGATTAGCAGCGCCTTGCTGCTACTTAATTCTCTTTGTCATCTGAAGGTTTCGTGTTTCCATGTCTTTGAATGACGGGAGCGGCATTTATAGATATATCACTCACAGCACTTTTACATTCATGCATCCATAAAAAGCTTGACTTTGACTCGCTCTAACTTTTAATCCCGATGCTGTCCATACGATAAGAATCACAGTGCAACTGGACTGTAAATGTGTAATGAGGTTTAAAAGATCACATCATGACACTCACTCTCTCCAGTGTGATTTCCTCATACTCGATTTCGCCTTCTGTCCCATTCACCTGTCAAGAAGACATCAGTTTAAGGGTGGTGTCCCTGTAGACCAATTTTGTCACAACCAGTCAGCTAAATTTTATCTCTAGCATTAGTCCCGTGGACCGGATCATCATATGTGCACTATTGACTGCTGCACTGTTCTTTCAGTACCATTCTTCCTTCTGGATGAACAACTTGGCTCCACGTCAGCTTTACCTTTGCAATTACAGTTCAAGAGGACGAGGAGATTTAAGTAACTTCAGTCTTCAGTGTTTTGGTGTCTGACCTAGAAAACAACTTCTCTTCATGCCGTAGTGGTGCAAAAATGCTGCTGCTGCTGCTCTGTGATTGCAGGCATTTCCACATTCTCTACACAACTCGTGATGATACGGTCACTGCTTTTCCTTGCAGATATGACACCATTTCAGAACTCTGAAGCAAATTAAGGAATATTTCTATTCTCCCAAATGTATATCAAACAAAGAAAGCTAATTTAATTAAAATGGAAGAAAAATTCATCACTGTTACCGTGCAGATTAAAACAGTGTGCAAAGCCCTACCTGCAGGGTGGGAAAGGAGTGGAATTGAACTGATAATGTACAATGAATATGAAGGCAGTTAAGTTAGCCATGTGGTTAAGCCTAACGTAATAATACAATAAAGGGAAGATTAAACATAATCCTTACATATGGGGAGCCATCGAGTGTGTCAGTGTTCACGACCACTGGAGGAGTGTTTCCCTGGAGGCAGAGAGAAAGGAAACATTATTAAGAAATAATGGCAGAAATTCAAATGTGAGGCAAGTCTCGGCTGAGCTCTCAGTGTACCCTTGAAACCTGCAGTCGCAGCCAAGACTGATGACCATTTTAGCTGTAAGCTGTGATGACACTGCTCTCACTATGCTTTGGTTATCACTCTGCTAAAGGATGGAGAGCACTGCGACTAAACCATTTGTTATCATCCGTCCATGATGGACACAGAAATAATTCACGCAGGCCCTTATACTCATGGCCATGGTTTTATTTTTGCTCTAGCTGCTAGTTGAATTACAGAGCTGATGCACTAAGTGGTCATCTCATGGATATTGCGGATATGCCTCCTGCCCATCGTTTCAAAACAAACATCTCAGTATTTCGTACATATGGCAATTTCTGTGGAGAGTCGGAGGATGATGAAGACACGGTAAACTGGTGTAATGACAATGACACACAGCATGATTAGCCCATTTAGTATAATGCCGGCTCGCTTAATGGTCGGCGATTCTGTCCTAAACCATACAGCAGCAAAGCTCACAGAGCCAGATTAAACCACAGCATTTCAACAAGTTATCCATCAGGATCAAAGTGATGCAGAAAATAGCACAAAAAGCAGCAAATCAGTGGTGGACACGATTTGTGGCGTGGACGTGGGTTGGATTTACCTGCCAAGAATTTTCTTCCAGCTCACCTGAAGTGTCACAGTTTATCCACGCTCTTTTATTTCACTTCAGTTTCATTCATACAGCACCAGCTCGCCACAGCAGACATCAACACTGTACTCTCGTTCTTTCATCATTCTTTCTGGGATTCACTCACATCTTCAGTCTGTCGCTCTAAAATGCCAATACACTGTTGACCGACTCCCTATGCAAACGCCATTGTTCATTTTCTTTTGTTACTGTTCTTTAGCGCACGCTGATTAGCATGGGGAAGACACTGTGCATCCAAAAGTGCTTACAGAAAAGCAAACAGCAGCACAAAATCAGCCTGCTGACCTTCACAGACCTGACAGCTCTGACACACACAAACAGCTACGCGGCCAATCCAAACACATGCGCTTTCAATAAAATGGCTTCATAATCCTAGCCAGTGATCTTTATGGGATGCAAAGGGAAGTTATTTGTTTACACTCTCTAAGACGTTCAAGCTGAGCCAGAGGAAGAAGTGTTATCCGTTTATTCATATTTTCTCTGAAAACAACATCTGGATGTGATACACTGTAGAAATACATTATAGCAGTGCAGCAGCTTTTCAGCAGACTTTTAACAACATGCATTTTGACTGATCACAGCAGGAAATGCAGATCATTTACATTTTGTTTGTAATGGTTCAGTTTCATTAGGCGTTCCATGGCGCAGCAGGAAAAGTGCAGGGGTAACTAATGACATTAATGAAGCCTTTGTTTCACTCTGTGTCCCAGAGCTACCACGCACTATAACAACATCCTGGCACAGCAAATGATTTCATTAACAACATTATTTATATCTGAGGAGCCAAAAGGTTCAGTGAAGCCTGCTCCTTTTAAACATGCTGGATGTGTGGAATTGCCCGACGACTCGGGCAATTTCACAAAACGTCAGTCCTCCTAAAGAAAAGACACAAATCTCTCTTCTGACGAGTGTTTCAACTGCTCACTGTCTGATTGCAGCATCGCCTGTGCACGGCTTCATCACGCACGGTAGCCGCATCCAGCGGTGCTACTGAACATTACGTCAAATTCATCCTTATCTGGAGAGAGAAATAATGAGTATAGCTAGCAGAAATCTAAGCCTAGTGCAGGCAATTTCCCTGCAGGGATTTTGACAGAGCTCTCTTTCTGTCTCTCCGCTCTGTCAAGTCTTTCGACATCAGGGCGGTTAGGATTTACAGTGTTTGGCTGCTCTTGCCCACCTATATTTTAACACCACCTATTCAGCCATCCCTGGCATGGCTCTATAGGCAGCACCGCCATCCATCAGCAAACGGACACTAATGCATTTACAATTCAAGCAGGACTTTGCAAATTTGCATCACTACTCACACACGGCCTGAGCAGGACTTGATTAGTATTAGCAGATCTGATTACTCGAGCTCACTGTGATTAAAATGTCTGTTATGAGCTTTAATGGCAGCAATTTGAAAAGTAAAAAAAAATCCTGGTGCCTTTTAAATCACACAATAACACAATGCACATACTTTAAAATATTTAAATAACAAAACACACTAATGTAATATTCTGTGCCGGTGACATTTTCATTAAAATCTGTGCAACTATGCTGAGGTGGAGTCATACAAACAAACAAACAAACATGAAGTAAACATGTTTAAAACATGCCTACCATTTTATGATGCCGACGTTTCTTGCCCTTCCGCACATTGTTGAGGAATCGGCAGCCCATCTTTTTGGCGTACCACACAGACATAAACATTGTGCTTCTGTCCTTAGATGACAGTCACTGATATTCAATATTACACCCTGTTCAAGTCTTACAACGATATACAGACACACTGAAAGTGTCAAGGTGTTTTTTTAGAGTACCCTCTGCAAGCATCTTCATTCAAATTCACCACAAAGTACCACCAAGGTATTGTTGCCAAGCGAGCCATTAGGTCTAGGCCCTGCCATAACAGTAAGCTTCCACAGTGGATCAATTAAAAGATACCTGTTTCAACTTAAGATATTACACTTGAGCTTTACATTTAACTCAAATCTAATCGAACCCTGCTGGCATGCTCAAGACATGCAACGATTTCATGTCCAGAATCACACAAAGAGCACAGCTCAGTAATGTTTTCCTCCTGTTGAGTCGGTGCTGAAGATTTCATCCACCAAGGCTGAGGCTGATCACTTGTTGCCAGTAAGTCTTGTTGTTATCTGATACCCGATCATCCACTCTTCGGGAAGCCATCTATCCAGAATAAAAAGAAATAGATCCCTTCATTCTCCATCCTCTCTGGTAGTGGACTACGATAGCCGTGCCTCCCTGCTACTGGTCTGTGCTCAGAGAGAACGCAGTTCACATTTTCTGCTGCTACTGTACTGTACCCCTCCCATCCCTGCTGCTGAGAGAAAGAGGAGCAGGCAGGAAAGTTTGATGGCAATTACTTAGCTGTCTCACTGTATAATGTCTACGCTGGTGATGTGAAAGGCTGAGGAATTATACTTTGACTGAACTTAAGAAGGACAAGTGGCGCAAACTGGCCTCCCTTTTTTCTTAGGGAACACTCGACACTGAAAGGTTTGTGAGTACTGTACCAGTTCTAGTAAAAAGAATGAAGCCTGAACACAGTAGTGACAGCTTGGTTGGAAAAAAATGAAGCTTGCCATGTGACGTTTTTGCCAGACCTGAGCTGTTTTTGAAAGTCTGTATATGTCTGTAAATTAGGGCCCTTCAAAGGAGATTTTTATTTGCGACGTGAGGAGAAGCTTGAGTAATTGCAGGGCAGCAATTGCACATAATTAACAAATCCTCCTTTTAATTTCATTAAATTTATTTAATTTCAGCTCAATATTTGTGTCTCTTCTGCTCTCTTCGGCTTTCTGCTTCACCATGTTAGCGCTGCTTCATTCAAAAACAGCAAAAACAGCAACAGAGAGTGGCTGGTTTAACATTTGTTTATCTTGGTTTAAGATGCCGATGCCGTCGTGTGACGTCCGCTCACTGTGAATATTGTTTTTTGCAGCTTTACTGCAAACACAAATTATTTTCAAGTTGGGCGATCAGTATAAAACATCATTTTACATAAACTTATCAACAACGTAGCTGCCTGCAAATGCATTTTTGTTTTGTTATGATGAATATAATTGTGTTGAAAATAACATTGAATATAATAATATTCTCTCAAGACATCTCTAAGAACCTTATTGAAGGACCTGTCATCACTATTGACAGCAATACTCTTGACCGAATATGGAGTTGAAGAAAAGAGGAGGGGTTTGTTTGCCATTTTTACCTTGAATAATTAAACAGGACATGAGGTTACTATGAAAGCACACCACCATGTACAGAAAAAAAGGCTTAAATGATCCTTTTTCCAAGCTTGTGCAAGCTCTCTCTTTCAGAAAGACAGATGGATTGGCAGGCGTGGAATATATATGCACAAATGCATGCACGCACACTGAACAGACTTAAGCAAGGACATGCTGAAGGACAAGCTGTCAGCAAACGTTCTCATTCTGTGAAATAAAATCCCTCCATTTACCTATCTAATATTTTCGCCCTTCTGCAAGGCCCTCTCTATCCTTTACTCCGCCATTCAGCACGAACAGCTCTCTCATCCTCTTTCAGCATTTTTTCTCCCCCTCTTTCTCTCTCCCCTCTGCTTCCCAAAGGACCTGAGCTGCGGCTGCTCAGTAATTACACTGAAGCTGCAGGGACGTATTTAAACATTTATTAAAGAAAAATAGGGAGGATGGGAAAATGAAGATGGAAACCAGATACTGACCAGACAAGAATGGAGAAGAGAAAGGGGGAAGGTATAATGGAGAGCTCTTGGGGAATCTCTACAGAAACGTGTAACTGATCCTTGCGTTAAAAACAAACTGTCTTTTTTTTGTGCAAAGTGTCAGACACGTGTCAGAGGGTTTAACTGCTTTGTCTGAAGAAGGATTTGTCTGATTTGGGCTGCGTACTGCGTCTGTGGTTGGAGACAAGAAAAGTGATATGCATCCTTTTTCATTAGAACTGAAGGAGTATAACAAATGGGTTGGTGGGAGTCTTCAGTAAGCACTTACAGCCTTCTGCTTCTCACTTTCAGCTTGTCAGGTGAAGGATTAATGGCAAAGATAAGCACTGTGTAGAGTTTTTATCTCAACAATTCAAAACTGTCACAATAAAAGTACCTCATACATTATTAAAAAAGCCTTTTTTGTTTTGTTTTTTCATTTTTAGACAGATCTCTGTCTTTAAGGAGAATTATATAAAGAGAAAGAGAACAAAAACAGTGCTTTCAGGCCAGTTCATTCAGAATATATCGAATCAGATGACCCTAACCCTTTAAAGCATTATTTTCATATAAACTTGTAATAAGAAAACAAAGAGTGAATTCACTTCCTGAAGAAATCTCCACGTGTTACAGACTGGATACAATGTGACACAAAAAAGCTTTCATTTGCTGTTAGACCGTGAACTTTAAGTAAACCAACAGCAGATAAATAAAAGCAGAGCAGTCAACACATCAGTTTCTATGTTTATGCAGGCTCGAAGAGTCACATCGAGTAAAAGGCGGGAAGATTCATCAGCATGAGCTCAGATCGATATCAAAAGTTCTGCGCAGTGTGGAGAAAAAAAAGATTTCTAATTACATTACCAGATAAGTTAAAAAAAATGGATGTCATTTGAAGCTAAAGCACCTCTTTGCTAAATCATGTACATAACCCAAAGACCTTCTATTACTTGCCAAACCATTGCAGTGCTTCCAGAGACAATCCTACCCATAAATCAATGGGCCCTGGAGTGGTACTGGCAAACCCCACACCATTAGAGCAATAAAGACACAGACTGACGATACCACCTACACATCAATGACAACCACACGGGCATTACATCGGCTGCAAACACGTCCACACACAAAGGCATTGCCGCAATGCATCTTGAAGACAGGACACACTTAACCCGACCGGTGGGGAAAATTGAGTGCATGCATCAACAGAATGCAGTCGTTCTGTGCATGTTTGAAGGAACGCATACAAACACATTTTTCTTACTGATGACTTCATGCTGGAGGCTGCGTGGTCTCCCATATGTTAAACAGTTTAATTCTAAGCATGTGTTATTAATTGCGTTGTGTTCAAAGTCAGGGCAGGCCCACAAAGACAAAGAATGACGTATAGTTTACAAGAGTAACTACTTGTTCGAGAGACACGGAGAGACTGAAAGCCAAACTCCACTTATTTCAATGATCCTGTCTTTTTGCTTTTAAAGTAATTACGTAGCAGCTCATTTCTAATGTTCAGATTTTCGACTAATAGAAACACAATATAATATTGTGTGTCTTTTGTTCTGTCTTCCTCCCCTCACCCCAAATTGGCCAGATGGCAGCCTCTGACCCTGTTTCGGCCATATGTTTCTTCCTGTTCGAAGGAAGTTTTTCCTTCCCACCTTTCCCAAACCACTTACTTAAAAGGGGTCAAAGGGGCTCTTCGATTGTTGGGCTTTTCTCTTGGTTACCTTACAGTCTAAAGCACCACGAGGCGACTGCTGTTATGATTTTTGTGCTACATAAATAAAATGTAATTAAATTGAGTATCCTAATAAAAGGTTAGGAAGGAACAAACTTCTCAGTGGTGATAGATACATTTCTGGACCACTATAAGCACGTTTCGCCTTGCAACTGCGAGGAACACATTGAGCAAGATGCAAATGCAACCTCTCTCAAACCTCACAAAAATGCTTTATAGAGGAAGCAGGACAGCCAGCTTTTCAAGGTTATGAAAGTTGAGTGTGCACGGTCTAACACTGACACCTACAGGTTTCAGTCTCCCCTTGCAAATCTCTGCTTGTCTCTGTCTGTCCATATCCATGCCACAAAGGTTTAGCAATGTAGCACTAAAGGTTTAGCAGCGACATACATCAGGACTTTACATATGTGTCTTGACCACAAAGATAGTTTTCTCATTGTGTTACATGTTTTAGGATTGTTGGGAAATATGAACTTCTACATGCACAAAAATGCTATGGTAGATTATGTGTTGTTTAATTAGAACATAGGAACTGAAACATGCACGTAACGACAGATCTGAGTCTTGTGGTGTGATTGAATTTTCAACATTTGAAAAACTATTTTAGTGATTTCTGTGATTTTAGTCCCAAAAATAGCCACTGAGTACGAGCAGAACAAATCTGTTAGACAAAGGAGATTTGAATGACAGTGAGCATGAAGCCGCTGATATGATCAGAAACAGATGACCTCATACTCTGGCAGTACAGATAAAATGGCGATGAATGGGCAGCTGTCTCTCTGCAATCAGACAGCCAGCCAAAGACACGGAACAAAGATAAAAATCACACTGATTATGATGACTGATGATGATACTGGTAACTTTCACATTGATGGACCAGCACGGATTGCTGTGCTCTTACCAGTGTGGAAACAGCGGAGGTGTACATTGGAGTGTGTCCCGTAGACATCAACACAGGCTGCAAAACAACAGAAGGAGAGGGTAATTGTGCAGGCCTTGTACATCGGCACAGGGAAGAACAGCGGGTACCGCTCAGTCTTTTCTCTTGTGGCGATTGATTTTGTATATTTCTAAGAAATCCTGAAAGCAGGCCTTGAATGTGACAGTTAAAGGGCCCACACTGTAACATACTGTACTACAGTGTTGAAAGTAAAATACTTGTTATATGCAAAATCTTAAAAACAGTGTACCACACAGACAGCACATCGAGAAACATTGATTAAAAATTGTATACTGATCATTTATACAAGCACCAGCCCTGAAGATGGATTAATGCAGAACAGCGATCAAACAATCAAACTAAGCAGAATACACAGTGACACAGACGGACTGTCTCTACTACTCACTGATAGCTTATATATGAGAGAGTAAAAAACACTCAGGTACATACAACCATTAAGAAACAGTGGGACTGTCAGTGCTTGTTAAAGCAGAATTGATTACTCTGCACAGCTGAAGTTTTAAACAATCCACCATGTGCCCATGAATTTTACAAACAGCAACACTGCAGCATTTTCACATGTCAGGAGACCCGTTTCCTCCCACTGGAAAAGTTTTATATTACAACAAAGCATGTAATTAAAGTATGAATGTTAGGACAGCTGCATTTGCTGATCTAGCACAGCACTTCATTCAGTTGATTAATGCCGATTCCTCCTGTTATTAACAGACACTACCTGTCTTTCTTAATATAGACACTGCTTTCTATTCAGTGCTTCACTGGAAATATTTTGGCTTGCTAAATGGCAAATCAGGAGTCATATCAAAGCTGAAGAGTATGAAAAAAATCAATGAGTCAATGTTTCTGCTGCCACGCAGTCTCAAGCATGTGAGATGGCTGCAGGAGGGGTTAGGTAGTGTAGAGAAGGTTTTTAAAGATGGGAAAGTAAAACTTGGGCAATGTTATTCACTCGCTGGACCCACATCCTCTCCGTAAACGAGAACGAACAGCTTGTATAACTGGGGGAACATATATAGATGAGAACCGGGAGGAGTGTGTTTGGAGGCGTAGTCCCGCTCCTGAAATTCAGATACTTTATCTCCAATTGATGAAGGCCAGGCTTTCCAGTGTTGTTCAAAAGGTAACAAACCAGTTCACAAGAGCCCTCGGGGGTACTGTGTGAGGACACAGTACAAGCAAATGGAGCAACACAGTGCAGATAAACATCATGCATCATCATCATCATAGTTATCCTGAAATTGACCATTATTGTCTTTAAATCTTCATCAAAATCACAATTAACAACAAAAAATCAATTACCTGTAAGCCATATGTAATAATTATTAAATATCTTTATCAGGCCTGTATTAATATTTGCATGTGACTCATAATATCGCAGAAATCTGATCACAATATGATTTTTACTCGTCTAACTCTGAGTGGGACAAACATAAGGGTCGCCACATGTTCATGCATCCAGCCAGCCTAGGACGGAGTTACGTTCTTGTATTTGTTTTTATAGCTATTCAAGGATGTACACGCAAAGCTCCCAGAGCGTGATGTGAACAATTCACTTTGAACTAAGTTAAGGCAGACCTTTGTACTTCATCATGCATTCAGCTCTCCCTGAAGAGAAACACAAAACTTCATAAATAATAGCGGTATTCCAAAAATAGAAATAGGGCCAATCCTGATTCAAAAAAGCACCACTGCAAACAACATCAACATGCTCTCTTTCAAATGTTAGGAAAAATATCCTCAAGACAGAATTTCACTGCAGTGTAGGTGTCTTAATAACAGTGTTATTGCTGCTAATGCAATTTAGTGGCTTATAAACTGCTCTCTGTGTCACACAAGTTTTGATGCAGTGAACATACTGAGCACCAGAAATGTCTTTGGGCAAAATGGGGAGACTGTAGAAAATCTATTTTAGGAGACTTTTAGAGACATGGGACACTCACAATGCAAAACCTCATTATGGTTTTAGTTCATATTGCAAAACCCTTGTATTTTACACCAAGTATTACCCACTGTACTTAATATCACATTGAGGGATGATATCAAGGAAATGCTTTCACAGCCTGCACTTTAATATTTGCTAAATTGGTTTTAGAATTCTAAAAACTCATTGCCTCAAAAATGATGCAACTTTCACTTAAAAGTGGTGAGCAGTACAGTTCCAGCTTGGTTATAGTGACTGTGTCATACTTTTTAAAGCCTAAACCATGACATAATTGACAGAGAATTGAATGAAAAAAAAGTTTATTGAACGTTCTGACATATTCTTTTTTATATATATAATTATATATTATTTTGCATATATAACATTTAAAGTGCATCATATTTTGCAACATATTTATTTCGGTTTAAAAAAATTATTTAGGTTCTTTGGGGAGATAAAAACACACACTGATGTTGTAGAAATCTTAAAAATTAAAGGAGGCCAAGCCCAAACCCAAGTATTGTTTGTGATTTTAGTCTGTTGTTAGGTGGTTACTAGGCAGCGTGACAACAAAATAATGTACCGAGAATTTAAGTTTTGAGGAACTAAAGCAGATGTTGCTGTTGCTGTTATGAATTGAAAATGTATTGATGCTGTAATGATTTCATAAATTAAATACATTTGTGCATAAATACTAAAAATGGGTCATTTTAGCTTGTTGCTAGGTAGTTGCTAGGTAACGTGATGACATATCTGATATAGATAAGAACCTTCAGGGCCTTTAAAATATACCCGTGTGCCATGTTTTTTTGTTTTTTTTTGCTCAACTCCTGATTGTGTAGGATGGGCAAACAATTTCTTGTATTATAATAGGATTTTATGAATAAATTCAATAAATTCAATTCAATAAATTCTGAAAATTAATTTTAAAAATGTTATAGAAGAAAATATTTTATTTAGAAAGACAGAAAACGAATGAAATTTAACAGTGGTTACATTACATGTTGAAGACAGATTTCACTTTTTCCTGCATCTCCGTGTGCCATAGACTACACACTGCACTTAAACAGCAATACTGCTTTTATTAACATTTGAAAAACAACCTTAAAGAGGACCAGTGACTGGCCATTAATCACTACAGGAGTTGCAATAGTGGTGGCCTGTTGACTTTACACTTCTCTTGCCCACACACACTGGAAACGACATTACATTTCAACAAGAATCAAAATCTAAACACGTAACAGAAAAAATATCACAGCACTCTAAATTAAAGCTTCAGCAGCCCTGTAGGTCTCTGTGCTTGGCAGTTTAGAAGTATTATGTACAACTACTCTCCTCACATTACAGGCAAAAAGGTAGATAATGTTAAATAAGTAAGTATATTTTAAACTTATGCTAGCTAACAAATTAAGTTATAGGCAATTAAAGGCAATTAAAAACTGATTACATTTGTACTATAATGTCAAACTACTATTAATTTAAGATACATGTGGTCTAATGGTGTCAGACAAAACACAAAAACCAAGCAGGAATTTTATTTAAACAATTATAACACCTATCTACACACCAAAGTAAATTAAAAATTCAGTGTTATTAATTTGAATTAATATGTAATTCTATGCAATTTTATAAATTTCCCCTTGAAAATAAATACATTTACATTTCTGGAAAATAATTAGAGAAGGGCTTACATGTGCATTAGAAGCATGCTTTATAAATTTTATGAAGCCAATTAAGAGTACAAAGTCATGGTATGCTGCACAAACTGAAGTCCACCAATAAAATGCTTTAGCAGTCAAAATAATAAAGAGTCAAAACTCGTAAGGATGATACAGTGTAGCAGAGTCAGTCACTGTTTGAGGAGAAATACAAATAACAGAAGAAAAGCAGAAATTATTTCATATTTCTGATGCCAATTTCCTGATTCTCCACACTGTTTCTGCATGCCAGCCTCAACACAATTAGTTTTCTAATGAAAGTGCACATCTAATGAAACAGTTCACAGAAAAAGTTATATACTAAGTGCCATTTTATTAGTGGAGACCTCTTCAGCTGCTCATTAATGCCAGTATCTAATACCTAATAGCTTATATGCAAATATTAGCCAATGATGTGGCAGCAACTCTGTACATGTGGACACTTTGACAGGATCGAGAATTGCAATGAAAAGCAGGGTTCCATCCTGCCTTGAATAATGGTTCACACTGCTGGGTGGGGGGACATGAAAGTGACTTTACTCAAATGGCCTCCACCTTCATCAGATCACAATCCTGTAAAGCACCTTTAGGATGCGTCGGAACAGGAAACTGCATTGTGGATGCGCAGCTGACAAATATGCTGCAATGTCATGATGCCAGTATGATGTCAATATGGGTCGAAAATCTCTGATGAATGTTTCCATGTTGAATCTGTGACGTGAAGAATTAAGGCAGTTCTGAAAGCAGGAGTCATGCATGGTGTACCTAATACAGTGGCCAGTCTCCATGCTCACGATAAAAGGGGGACCTACTGATATTCATATAAAATACTCTTCAGTGTAATGGGATACAATAAGTAAATCGGGCAATTTGCCAGTTTGAAACATATATTAAAAAAAACCTCACAGACGTTATCATTATTAGATCATAAATAATATTTCCTGTATGATAACTCATATATACTGAAAAAAATACCACAAGCCTCAAAGGACTGACTGAATGAGTCATGTAATGGACCTGAACCACTGGAGGGCACGCATTACATTTTTTATTTGACTTAATAAACCTCATACTGGTGGGTTTTTAGAGAATGGAGTAACTCTCCTGCCACATTACCATAATAAATGGTGCACCCATCAACTATGAATAATTACTGATCCCTTGGCATGTGCTGGAGCAAACTCAACTGGGAGCACAGGGATTCAAAGTAACAAAAAAAAGAGAGCTTGTCTGTCCTTTGTAAAAGCTAATAATGCGACACGTTTACACGTCATCTTGTTTTTAAATATATATTTTAACTGTCACAACACATCACCCCCTTAAACATCTACAAAAAATGGTTTAACAGAGAAAAACATGTCATCTTTTTGTTGTCAGTCTTGAACAACCTCACGGGTAAAGCCTCAAAAGCAGGGACGTCAAAGTCATGTTACATCGTCGGACACATACAGCCCACTGTGATCTTCAGCTGTCCGGACCAATGAAACTACGTGATAAATGTCTAAAATTACAAAAGCTATGGTAGTTCATTGTCCAGACTGAATTTAATATATTTAATAATAATAATAATCAGAATAATAATATTAATAATAATAATAATAATAATAATAATAATAATAATAATAATAATAATAATCAGAATAATCGGTCTAGTATAAATGGTAATGGTGTTGAAAGCTGTAAAATGTAATTAAAAGTTAAGTTCTTTAGGTTTTCCAAAGCTGCGCATTGTGACACCCGAACTTTAGAGTAAGAGTCACAGACTTATAGACAAAGTTACCACAACCAAAATATATGTATATTATATATTACAACCACTTTCTTGTTTGTGCCCATCAACGAGCAACCTCAAAAGCCAAAATGAAATCTAGAACTGTAGTTCCTCTTGTGGCCACTTGAGGTTGGCTTCAAAAGAGAGCCGATCCCTAATAGACTCTCATGTTAAAATACCCAAATTTAGGCCGACATATACATGATTACATCTTGGCATAAAACGGTTTGCTCTCATTATTTTCTACCTCATTATAGTTGTACGGGCAATTGATTTTTATATAATTTACTCCTTAAAATCACACAAAGGCTTAAATTTAGGCATAATTAAGGTAGTGCTGCTTTGATATGTTGTTGTTAAGCCTGTACCAAAGTCACAAGTTTCCTATTGTAACAAATTATGGAAGCAAATATCTACCCAAGCTTAGCTCTTAACTCCCCTGCTCTTCCCTCTAGTCTAAATATGTTCATGTCCGGTTAAAAGAACAATACCAAGATGATGAGAGCTAAAATAACAAACATGGGTTTTCACACCTTCTTCACTACTCCTGGATGTTATTACCCTGTGTTATTCCTGCAGTATACAGTCTTATACCCATTTAAAATCTCTATCTAGACAAGTTTTTGTGCATTGTACCGAGTAAGGAACTTTTTCTAGTGTCTTGTACGACTTGACCTAACTCTCCAAAGCTACTGCGGTGGTTTTTAATTTGGCAGTGTTCCCATACAGAGCACCCTCCTCACAGCATCCTCAAGGAGAAATCTCCATGGCCACCAGAGCTCATGCTGAACATACAGCTGTATATTTTAAACAGCAGCAGACAACAATAACTCATCCTCTCCATTGTATTCCCTGGCGAGAAACTGATAACCCCTCCCTCCTCAAAGAACCCCCATCAAACTAAATAAATGCAGGCACTCTTAAGTTTTAATAGCAAGGGATGCTGTTAAATAACGCATGTGGGCATAGGAGACAGATCATTATTAAGTGGCCATTATAGCCTACACCTTTACATTTGTAGCTACACTAGGTATTTGCTAATGCACTCCTAGCAAAGCGCTCATATTCCTACTGATGTCAGCTGTATCGTTTGACTGTGTGACCGGCATCGCCTGTGCTGTTGGTGTCATTGCCTCCTTCTTTGTCATGAAGCTCTCAAAGACATTAAATACTGTATTGCAAAAAAGAATCGTAAGCATTTCCTTATTCTATACATTTGATTCTGTACCTGCAACTCCATCCGCCAGTCAAGCTATCTGCTGCCACCAAACTCAGAATGAGAGATTTTATTTCAATTTGTTGGATTTTTTTTGTTTGTTGCTGTCACACGGTATCATTTATTAAACCAAACCTATATCTGAATGCATTCTTTAATGTCTCAAGTGTTCGTATTACTACCTTAAAACTCTTAAATGCATCCTGTACATTGATTTTGAAGCTGTGCAAATTCATGTAAGTGCAAAATTGATCTGACCATTTAAGGTGCCAGGGGCCGTATCTATTCCCCATAAATGTATTACATTCCCATTACCATACTTAAGTTGACCATGATTCCAAAAAAGACAACACGACATCTTAAGAAAACCTATAATATATAGATAGTGTGCGTGTTTGTGCGTGTTTGAATTAAAAAGTTACCAGAAATCTAATAATCAGTGATATATACTGTTTTTTTCTTAGGGGGGTGTTAAACAATCTTCTTTAATAATAACAGCAATTTTCAAGCGTCTTCATCAAATATTATGAATTATAAATACAATTATCTGCTTCCACAGAACATACATTTAGCATAATTAGTACGTGTGTAATTAGGGTTTTTGAGCTGCACTGCAGGAAAAAAATAAATCTCTGATGCACTCAGATCGCAAAGTGGCTCACATGAAGTCATGTAAATGTGAAGTCAGAGTTATCTCACTGATGTTGCATTGAATATTCAGCACTGCAGTACATATATAATTGGCTGTGGAACGATGATGTGTGAAGCTCTCTGCAATATGCTCTCGAGCAAGGGTGTGCTTATTTTGGCACCGTGGGCTAACGGCGTCATTCCTAAGTGTTGACAGCTGAGTGCTTTGTGCTGTTGTAATAGTGTTGTGTATTGATTACCAATGCACATAAGCGAGTGTGTTTTGGAACGTGTGTATCCTACCTTGACAGGTGAGATATGCGTGTGTGGTGTGTAGCCATGGATCGCCTCCATGGCGGCGAGGTTTTTGTCACTCATATGAAGCATCTCTGCACTTTTCCCTTGAGCCAGATGTGCTGGACTGTGCTCCAAGGGGGGCGTCTCCTCATCCTGGTACCTGTACTTCTGCAGACACACACAGATACAGGCGAGGGTATTAGTCTCGCCAGGTCTTATGTAAAAGGAGCTCGATAACAGGTAAATCACAAACAGAATTTACCGCCACCTTTCGCTGGTTTCTGATCTTCTTACACATTATTATGTAAAAGACAGTCTACCTGTACAAAGAGCAGAGCGCAGTATTTCTACTAAAGAGGGATTTTTAGCTAAAAGCGGACAATCTATATGCAAATCTAGTTTATCACATAACATGTGTGACGCCCACAAGCGCAAATTGGACAAACGGAGGCCTCAAAATGTTTCCATTGTGCGTTGAGCAAAGCTAACGTCTTCCACAGCCACATGGAGCAACTGGAGCCGTGACTCATAGCGGCTCTGAAGTAGCCGATCATGCGGCTTCTTCCTAGTAACCTCACTCCCCTACCGATATCCCACACCTGGGCAGCCTGCCAGCAGCCCACTGTTTTAGCCACACATGGTAGGTTTCATTTTAGGCGTGATGACACAAAATCTGCACGCAGCAATTTTCCATCACAAGCACACGAGAACGTGGGCAGCATCACAGTGGATATCTGCTCGTCCTGCGGGTTAGAGCTCGCGGTTTCTGCATATCTGTACGCTGCTCCTGAAGCCTCGAAGGCTCACAGTGTACTACCGTGCTGCACTGCAGATGTGAAGCGGCCGATCTGAAAAATGGAAACATTTGGTGGGTCCTTCAGAATTTTGGCTGGTGGCCCGATTGCCAACCCTGCCACTATCCCCTTTCTCATTTATATATATATATATTTATTTATGTTTTGGAGGCAGACTGGAGAGAGAGGTGCATCACTGAGCTCTGTCTCAGACAGGCTGCCTAGCAACCAGAGCAGAGCAGAGATTGCAGTGCCACAGTTGGGGCTGCCAGCATCGGTCCTGGATCACATTACACTGAGACAGCAAGAAAGAGAGGGAGTGAAATAGAGATGAGGATAGAAGAGAAAGTGAGGGGGATGGTAAAAATGGGAAAAAAAGAAAGAAAAGCGAGCCCATCAACAGAAAACAGCAGCATGAAGGCAGGAAAGAAATGACTCGTTGTTGTTGCATAATTACAGGTTAATAAGCTGGAAGCCCTTTTTTTCTGTGCAAAGCGCTGAGTCTGATATTACTGCACTGTTGTATACATAGATTAACTATTATGTAACTGCATACCACCAACTACCTGCACACTGTAAGAGAACAGATTCAATTAAGTATGTGGCTCAACTGGGAGATATGGTCCATAATAAGATGCAAAATATTTCTCTGTTTTTAAAACTCATCCCAAGCAATATTACAATATTAAACTTGCATGCAAAAGCATAAAAAGAAAATACAACCCAGTAAAATATTATTATTATTTAGGTAATTGGATACTTTTAGCAGCTGTTAAATTAATATATCTTATTTTTTAAAAGAAGAAATGTCATGACGACGTAGCTATGATTAATGTAGCCTAGTTCTATGGAGCTACTGTGCTGCTGTCTATACTCACATATAGACAGCAGCATGTTTTTTAATGAAGCTGAATTCCCAGTAAAGCTGTTCTGATTTCCACTTTTTTTTCGTGTTTCTGTTGTTAGAAAACGGAGCAAGTATGAAATATGAAACAACACGTGAACTGGCAGCCAGTTAAAAAGCCGTCTTCAAGCAGCACCTCTGCACTGCTGAAATGCTCGTTTTTTTTTTCATCTGCCACCCTGACCACGACACTGTCTGACAAAAACACACAATTCAAGTCGCTGTTGCCACAGAGCAGAAGTAGAGAGAGCCGTATCTGTGGCAAGACATCACACTTTCTGGGCAATACTGGAGGCTCTCTTCTGCAGAAAGTAGCTAAGGTGCTTCTAATAACATCTGGGTCATGGTCATAACAAACAAATTAAGGCTGAGCCTCAAATACAGGCCAGAGGGAAACCAATCCCTTCCTGTTGTTACTGCATGTGCAATCCATCACTTACAATGTTTCTGTAAGAATTATGCACTTGGTTTAAGAATTTAAGGTCTGGTTCCAAATGATCGGTCTATGTGTTTAGGGAGATAACTGAGTGAAATTATTGATTTCAATAACCCACAGCTGCTCCAAATCTATAAATTCTGAAGCCACCTCTCTGCTTCAATTCCTGTCTCTTTAAATGCAGAATATACAGCAGAGCATCCTTGATATAAAAAAAAAGAGGATGGAGTCCCCGCAGCTCGGAAAATCAACGTAACTTACAAGGGGATGCACATAATCATGTAAATTACTTTGCATTTTTCATAATACGCCATAACTTGCTCATATTTTGTGTATGTACTGAATTTTCAAAAATTTGTAAAACCCGGAGGCAAACTATTATTACGTTTCTGTAATAACTGTAATAAAATCTGCTCTCATAAGAAGGTTTGCCGGGCGTGAAACCTTTTGTACTGTAAGCTTAGAAAGGTGCACTATAACGATTCTGCTACAGGCTTGCCACTAATATAAGCCTACTTCAAAAAAACGAAGGCAGTTGACTTAAATGGAGGCACTGGTAACTTATTATTATCTACTTATTTTTATGTGCATGAGAGCGAAGGAATCGTGGGAGAGAGCCCAAGAAGCAAAACAGCAAAGCTTGTGTCATGCTGGCAGCTTAAAAAAAATATGACAGTTTGTACCAAGCATTCCCAATACATTTACTACATCCCATGTAGAACAAATCAAAATATACTGACTATATTTGATCTATTTTCCTAGTCCTAATTGTGGTTAATTAAGTATTCTTAACTCCAACTGTATCAGTAAAGTCTTTTCGTCAAATAATATAAACCACTGATTTAAACCCTGGAAAGACAAGTATATTACATGAATCACCGCTCAGAGTAGCCCTGAGCTCTCTGGTCTTCACTTCCTCCCCCTTTCCTGCATGACCAGCCTTCACGCTGCCATGTTGCCTTCTGTCCCACTGGTGGGGGATGTGACATTAAACTCAAAGATATGTTACACAGTGTCCTTCTGGAGAGAGGTTTGGAGCATTTTTCTCTGACAAGCACACTGTGTGATTGTTAAAAATGACACAGGATTTGTTTATTTGGAAGAGGGGGAAGACAAATGATTGATTTGAACACTATGAATGATTTTGAAGCTGACTGAGCCTTGGTAAACATTTTAACAAAGCCAGCATGACTGAGGGGCGGGCGGCAGAGGGATTCTCAACAGCCACGGATCATCAAAGTTCTCCTATCCTTTCGGTTTTCCAGCTAGGTAAAGAGCCATCACTGAATTCACCTGTTATGCATATCACTACTGATTGGATGGTTTAATAACTAAAAGTACAAAGACAATAAAATTCTCCCTTTTTTTGTTGTGCGTTCCATCATTTACACTGTTTCTGTGAAAATTATGCACCTGTTTTTTGGTGTTAATATTGTAGCTCCTTCTGAACCATGTTACTGATATGTACATATGAACATTTTTTTTATTTATTAATAAAAATGCTTAATAATTTTTTATCGAGATTGAGAGAATGAATGAGCCCCTGCACCATCAGATATAATTGGCTTTTCCACACTTAGGCAGTGTGAGAGGAGGGCAGCTGTTTTTGGTTATTTGTTTGCTAGGGTTCAACAAGAACAGCTTGGAAAGTCCTAAAAGAAAAAAAAAGAAAAAGATTTCCACTCCGAAGCAGAAATCCCAGAATTTTATGTGTTTTTTTTCTTTGGTAATTCAGGTTTTGGGTTATTTGTTGTGCAAAAAAGCATTGTGACGGTGTCATTAATGCTATTTTCAATGAACAATAAATTCATTTGTCATCTCACAATTCAGAGGTTTGAAGGCGGCCATTATCAGCAAACAGTATAAAAAAAATAAACAAGTAATTAGCTAAGCCCACATCTGACACACATATAACTGCACCCGACCTTTTTGGATGCCCAGAGCATCAACATTGCCTGATAACAAAACAACCACGCACAGCTCGGTAGCAAAATGGTCATTTTCTAAATAATAGAGCACATCTCTGTCTGAGCCAGTCAAGCCAATCCAGTCTAAACTGGTTCTAGGTGCAGCTCCTCGGTTTGTCAACCGGCTGAAACAAGCTATTTCAGCTCCACTCACTTTAAAGTCACTCTGAAGGCAGCCAGCTTTTTTCTGATTGGCTGCCCCTCATAAATCAAAAGTTTGATGGCAGGTGGGTGGGGCTTTAGCTTGCACAACAACCATATTCGGGATAAATATCATATAATACCACTCAAAGAATTTAAAAATATTTGTTTTAATTTATTTGTTTGTTTGTTTTATATTCCAGTGATCATTAAAATTAAAGTTAGCTGCAAAATAACGTCCATAAATAGACTACTGGAGGCATTTCAAGATGACTGGCAACTTGCAAGACCTGCTTCTACGAGGATGGTGATTCTACAGAGCCAGGAAAATGTTTCATTTTTGAATGATTGTGATCACTTGCACATAAACCAACCTCTTTATCTGAGACTTTTTCCACAGTATATGCATGACAAAATGAGGTAACTTAAGGAAAAGCATCGCTGTTACCCTCTGGATTGTAATACACAGAATGCACTGACATCCACTGTCAAGAACACAAATACGTAAGAAGATATAATCTGTTTTCATAAACATAAATTCTCATTAGATCACTTAAATCGTTTTCTAACAGGCAGGGAGGTTTCCAAGGGCCTGCCTTACTTAAAGGTCATCGTTAGGAGAGCAGCATGAGTAGTATTTGCTTAAATTCTTGTACTATGTGTGAAGAATAATAATAATATTTAACGTTTAACAGAGTTCAGTTATTGTAGAGCAAATGTCAAATGCTGTCTGCCATCACATTACTTTGTAATTCAAGGACCAAGCATGAGCTTTTAAATTATTTTCATTAGGTAATGGAATGAAAGCTGACCTTACCCCTCAGGCATATAATTTACAACAAACTTATATGGTAAATGCATTTGATGTGGAAGACATTACAGGAACCATTAGAAGCTTTTCACTTGCAAATCTGTGTCAATTAAAG